GTTAAGCGAGTGCATGCCACAGACATCTCTATGCATGGGAACAGAGATCCTCCAGGGATGCCCGCTCTCCCCCTAATTTTTTTTTGCCATTTTCATTGAGTGTCTAGCTGCTACAATCAGACAAACTAATGTGGTTAAAGGTATAAAAGGCATGAAAATAGGGCATAAATTAGTCTTTATGCAGATGATGTATATGTTTATCTCCAGCACTCAAACACTTGCCTCTCTCAAGTGATTAGATTACTAGAATATTTCTCAAAAGTCTCAGAATACTCTATTGGTCTAAATCTATAGTACTACCAATTAATTGCTCCCTACAAAATCCCTCAAGTCTACAATTGCAAACAGGAAATATCAAATATTTGGGAATTACTGTGTCATCTAAACTAGCTGAGTTACCAAAACTCAACCACATCCCTCTTTTAAAAAAGATAGAAGAGGATCTAAAAAGATGGAAATCGCTTCCAAGCTCCCTTATAGGTAGGGTAGCCTCAATTAAAATGATGGTCTTACCCAGAATTAACTACCTATTTCCAATGATCGCAATAAACCCTCACCCGATTGGTTTAAATCTCTAGATTCTTCCATGTCTAAATTTCTTTGGAAGGATAAACCTCCTTGTTAGGTTTATTCAATGATGATTATAAAATGAATGTATGTACATATGAAACATTGGAGAAATTAGATGCTCCACTCTGTCTTGTGATTCAGTCAGTGGAGCATCCCATCTTATGACCTGATCAATTGTCAGATTTACTGTTAGAACTATACTCTGTTTTGTAACCATGTGTTATGTTCTGTTAATAAAAGCGCTCTACAGAAAAGGTCCGAGGGAGAGAGTGTTGGAAAGTTGGGTTGCAGCTCTTTCCCCTTCTGCAGAAGTTGTTGAGAATCCCTTCTGGACGAACCCAGTTCTTCTTTTACGAACCCACATTTTTTAACCTAACACCCCTTGTATCAGCTTAAAGACACTACAGAAAACTAACAACAGAGGGGGACTAGATTTACATTACTTCCAACACTACTATTTAGCAAATAGATTACAATACATCTCTAAATGGATGAAACAGAATCCCTTAGATGAGCCCTGGATAGACACAGAACAGAAAATATGCAGTAATATCATAATTTCAGATCTAATATCAAACGGCACACATGTTTTAAAAATATTAACATCTTCCCACACAGCATGGCGGGAATTTCTTAAAATAACAAAGTCATCACTTATCCCGTGCAGTTGTACACCCATCTGGAATAACCCTGACATTTTACAAAACAATAATATGATAAACTTTCCATACTGGAAGAATAAAGGTATTACATATCTGGATCATTTATTTGAAGGTACGGAGTTTATCACATTTGCTAGATTAAATTTGCAATATGGCATTAACAGAAATAAATTCTTAGAATATGAGCAAATTAAAGCTATAATTAGAAATAAATTTAAGCATATTGATTGAGGTTTACAAATTACAACTAATATATCAGCGTTCCTAGAGTTAAACCCCCCCAAACTACTGTCTGAATTATACAGGACACTGACTAAACTGGATGATACAATATCTCTTCCTATTACTAAATGGGAGGAGGATTTATCAGTCAGCTTTGAACAAAACATCTGGGCTCAGATATGTCTAAGAACTTCTAACATGACTAGAAACCCCAATTTACAATTAATACAATACAAAATCCTCCACAGAGTGCACTATACAGGTCAAAGATTATTCAAGATGGGTTTTGCACAATCTGACATCTGTCCACTGTGTACAGGCAATCATCTTGAGAATTATATTCACGCGTTATGGTTATGCACGCCAGTTCAGAGGTTCTGGATACAGGTATGTAAGGGCCTATCACTGGGCCTGGGTTGTAAAAAAATCAGTTTGCATGGCATCACTGCATTATGTATCGCAAAGAAAACTATCCTCATCATTTGGAAAAGTAAGGATAAAATCATCATCAATTTTAGTTGATTTTAGTTGAGTCTTCAGTTAACACAGAGTAGATGTCAGATTAAATACTACTACTTCAGCGATAGTTTCAAGGTGTTGCTTTATTGTGTGTCTCGTACTATGTCTTTCGGTTGTGCTGTTCTTTTTGCATCTCGTTGCAGGTGATAAAGCAGACTGAAAAAGTTTTATCATCATCTCATTTCTATCTCCTCTTTCTTTCATCTTTTCTCGTTTTTTCTCCTTCTGTTTTTCGTCTTCTGTTCTATTTACATTGCTGTATTCATATAATCTGTAAAACTCTCTGCATAATTATAATAGAGCAATTTTTATGCATGAAACAAGCGGAACAATAGGGCAATAGCCGTACTGCTCAACTTGTAATAGTAAAATCTGTTGGGCTCTTTTTGGCATCAAGACAATTATTCTTATTGTCACATTGCCAGACCGGACACTGTTAAAAAAATAAATAAATAATAATAATAATAATAATAAAAAATAAGGTTCCTTCATCAGTTTAAAAATAAAAGACCAGAAATTATAAATAATTACTAAATAATTAACCTGTGGAGCAATATTTATCCCAACCCAATGTTGGTGAGTATGTGACTGAGAAATTACAAATTCCGGCAGAAAGCAGTGAAAGTTCTCCCAGTAATTAGAAGAGGCTGGAATGTCTAAATGGTTAAAGTTAATGTCTCTACATGTCTTAATAGAGGACATCTACCAGCTTCAACAAAGGCTGCAGATGAAGTGTTGATGAGGGAAATGGTTCCAAACTCTGGAAGAAGAGTTCTCAGAGCTTTGGGAGGATCTGACAGAAACTAGGACTCCTACAGAAATGACATTTTCTGAAACCAGTCACTCATCAACACATTTTGGCTCTAATTTACAAACTCAGAGGGAAATCTGTGACAGGAGAAAAAGGAGATTCTGGATCCAAACAACCAAACAACAGCAGCAATGCAGGGATTGATCTGAATGGTCCAAGTTTCCAACAAAGATAAATAGTGATTTTATAAAAACATTCAAAGAGACTAAAAAGGTGAATTCTGGGCTAACAGCCCAATGAGTGAAGAGGTGTTTGAAGGTTCTGATGGGTCTCTGGCTGATTGGATCTTTAGAGAAAACACAGATTTTCTACATTCTGAAGGATTTATATTAATTTCAATGGAAGATGGAAACTGATCCAAAGTTGAATATTTTGAAAATGATCAAAATCTCTAAACAACAAAAGTTCAAGCAGAGCTGTCCTGAAGGAGCAGAACGTTTAGATGTTTGAATGCTTTAAATAGTCCAAAGGATGAAGGAAGAGGTTAAAGAGCAGAAACTTCCAGAAGCAACTAGAACAAATGAAGAAGAACCAAGAGTACAATAGAGCTGAATCAACATCACACCATGAAGACATCTGGACTCACCGAGCCTTTCTGCAGTTACTCAAAGCTGGAAACAGTCTCCATCGTCCATTCTCTGATGTGTTGTACTTCTCCAGGTCCAACTCGTCCACAACCTCATCTGACATCTGCAGCATGTAGGCCATAGCTGAGCACTGGATGGCTGAGACATGCTTTTCTGATTTCAGCAAATCCTGGATCTCCCGGGAAACTAAGACACCCTCCATCTCCTGACGACAGAGGAAGATGTTAATGGTTTGGGCAACAGAGAATTTACCATTGTTAATCTTCTTCAGATTGCTGATCAATCTCTGGATGGTTCCTGGACTGTTCTCCATCTGACCCAGCAGGCCTCCTAAGAGGCTCTGGTTGGACTCCACAGAGAGGCCATAAAGGAAGCGAGCAAACAGGTCCAGGTGGCCATTTTTACTACTGAGGGATTTCTCCATGACTTTCTTCATGAAGTCCTCCAGAGATGTTTCTGTGTATTTCTCTCCCAGTAAGTTCTCCACCACATCTGTGTTCCTGCTGGTGAAGCAGTGGAGCAGGTAGACTGCAGCCAGAAACTCCTGGAAGCTCAGATGAACAAAGCAGTAGACTGAGGTGTCGTCCATCCCTCTCCCCTTTTTAAAGATCTCAGTAAACACTCCTGAGAACCACGAAGCATCTTTGATGTTGATGCCACACTTTTCTAGGTCTGACTGATAGAAGATCAGGTTTCCTTCCAGCAGCCCTTCAAATGCCAGTTTTCCCAGATACTGAACCATCGTGATGTTCTCTTGAGTCCATGGGGACTCTATCTTCTGTCTTCCATCATATTTGATTATTTTCCGTTCGATCTGAAGCTTTAGGAAGCAGATGTACATCCCAGTCAGGGTCTTTGGCAGCTCTCGTCCATCTCTGGTCTCCAACAAACCCTCCAGAACATCAGCAGTGATCCAGCAGAAGAC